AGGGGCCCAAGCCCCTCCTTAGAGTATCAGGAAGGTGGGAACGTGAGTCAAAGAAGATATAATAGTTTTTGCCCCGTTGGGTTCTGGGCTTACTTGAGACCTGTTATCCCTTTCTTCTTTCCTGTTTTTCTCTTTTGAAATGGAAACGTCTGTCCTGTGCCTGCCCCATCCTTGCATTTTGGAAGCACATAACTCGCTCGACCCCAAGAGGATGTGTACCTTGAGTCCCATTCACATCTGATTTTAATGACGTGCAGGTGGGACTCTGGACTTTTGATTTTTGATTTGGTGCTGGGAACAATTTAAGATTTTGGGCACTGCTGAGATGGAATGAACACATTTGGCTTGTGAGAAGAATGTGAATTTTGGAGGGCCAGGGGAGGAATGCGATGGTCTGAATGTCGGGGTTCCCCCTAAATTTATTCCTTGGGACCTAATGCCCAGTATGATTAATACTCTGGATAGTACTAAGAAGTTTGGCCTTTGGGAAGTGATTAGGTCATGAAGTCTTTGCCACATGAATAGGATGGAGCTCTCATAAGACAGGTCGTGGGGACCATTTCTTCCCCTTCCATCATGTGAGGACACAAAGGCCCCCACCTGACACCAGAGATGCTGGAGTCGGACCTCGGATCTCCCAGCTTCCAGTACTGTGAACAATACATTCCTGTAGTTTGCAGATTTCCCAGTCTAAGATAATTTGTTACAAAAGACAGAATAAACTAAGACACACATATACTCTCTCCCTCCCTTGGTCAGAGAAGCCAAGAGAGCAGGGGCCAGGCTGGCCAGAAGGTTCAGCCCAGGGCAAGTTCTCCACAGGGATGCCTCCTGATGATGAGCGCCTGCTGTGTCATCCTGGATGCCACCAGTGTGGTGTTCATCCCTGTCAGCCAGGACAGCCATAATCCCCTCTTTCCTACTTATACTTGGGGCTGCCTCTTCTGTTCTTAACTGGCTGGGAGTTATCTCAGTCAGAGATTCGGGTTGTGAAAAGCAGGCAAGCAAACAAACACCTCTCTGCATCCTCCTCCCCCTTCTCTTACCTGTTTTCCAGGCTCTGGGGAAAGAAATCCCACAAACTGTCACACTTCATATTGCCATCAGACAGTGGTGGGCATGGTGCAGAGAGGAGCTGTGCAAAGGGGCAGAGGGACTGCCTTCTTTGTTTTTTCGCTTTCTTCCCTGAAACGGGGAGGCGTCGAGTGAGCAAGATGTCCCGGCTACACAGTGAAGCACAGAGCGGCTGAAGACACAGCAGGCAGGACAGGGGCGTGTGCACACTGGCAGGCTGGCCTCGGCCCCGGTGGGGACATGGAGAGACCTTCAGGGGAACCAGGGATTCAGAGACTTATTGTTGGGGTCCTGCAGAAGGTGCGGCAATTCCAGCCACCAAGCCAGTCTCACCCCGACGGTCTGGCTGGTTGCAGAAACTCACCAGGGGCAATGGGCCGTCCCCCCAGCAGGCCCACCTGGACATGTGACTCCCCTGCAGCCACCCTCACAAGCACCAAGTACGGGATCCTCACACCAGAGGCCAAGTCCCCAGGGTGCCCCTTTCCCCCTTCATGTTCAGCCTCAGCAGCTGGAAGTCCACAGAAATAAATCAGGCACTCCTAAAATGGGCCATCAGAGGGGAGGGCAGATGGAGTAAGAGTTCTCTTCCCACAGACCTAGACGTCCATGGACTCCACTCAGAGTCGACTGAACGACGCTGTTGACTGCAGGTCAAGGCCAACATGGGCTGTGCTAACCGATGCCCACCTCCAGCGGGAAGGAGCACGTCACCTCACTGTTCTGTCCCGATCACACTGAACAGGTGTTCTGTGGTGGGCTCTGAATCCCACGAGAGACACTGAGGAAGGGGAAAGTGGGACGAAAGGGCGTCATCTAGGAAGCCACACTGGAGAGACTGGGGCATTCGATCTAGAGAACAAGGGCCTGGAGAGAACATTGATGCCGTCACTGGGCGCCCGGGGCCTACTCTGGGGAGTGACTCCATGTTGCTGTGGTGTGCAGAGCAGTCAGGGTGACAGGGAGTCCAATCAGACACAGGTGCAGTTTGGTGACAACACAATAATGGAGAGGGTTGCCTGTTGAGGTAGTGATATGATCTGGCTGTGTCCCCACCCAAATCTCATTTCGGATTGTAGCTCCCATAATTCCCATGTGTTGTGGTAAGGACTCAGTCAGAGATACTTGAATAATGGGGGCAAGTCTTTCCCATGCTGTTCTTGTGATGTGAGTAAGTCTCATGAGATCTGATGGGTTTATAAAGGGGCGTTTCCCTGCACAAGCTCCCTCTCTTGTCTGCCACCATGCAAGACATGGCTTTCACCTTCTGCCATGATCAGGAGGCTTCCCAAGCCACATGGAACTGGGATTCTATCAAACCTCTTTCCTCTGTAAATTGTCTCAGGTATGTATTTATCAGCAGCGTGAAAATGGACTAATAGACAGGATGCAGCTCCCCTGTCAGCAATGTCTTAGCAGAAATGTTGGGGCTGGCTCTAAGCTGGTCCTGCAAGAGCGCCCCTTGCCTGCTTCACCCTCAGGGTTATACTTGGAATGCCCTGAATGGCCTTGGCCAGCCCCTACGCTGGGCACCCATGCTTAGTCTTTCTGCAGGTTCCATTGTGGTTAATTACCCCACGTGAGCCAGGCCAGGCCCATCATGGTTTGGCAGCCCCACAGTGCACTGGTTGCTGCCAGCTGACAGGAGCAAGCCTGAAGCTGCTGGGGACGGTGCAGAGACAGCCTGCCCGAGGGGAGACCACTTGGGGAGGGCGGGGCCATGGAAAGAGCAAGAGGCCAGGGCTGAGGACCGAGTGGTACCGGTCCTGGGTTCCAGCAGGCCTGGAACAGGTGCACTCCGAACCTTTCTGTACTTAGTCTCAACCAGTTGGAGTTTCTGTTCCTTACAGCCAAGAGTCTTGATAGGAATGGCGGGGATCTGTGCTATGCTGCCATTGCTTGGCTTCTTCGCTGCTCGGACGCTGGAGAGTGACATAGCAGGGACTAGAGTGGGAAGCCTGCTCAGTGCCGGGCATGGTAGAAAGCGCTTGCCAGGCCTTATTTCCCATGTGGTGGGGATTTTGACCCCACTGTACAGCTGGGTAAGTGAGGACCCTTTCACTTGTCCTGCAACAGAAAATTCAGCAGCCAAAGCCAACAGGGATCTGGCATGGCATCTTCCCTCTCTGACTTCATCCTCATGCTCCACATGCTGTCCCCCCTGGCCGTTGCCACCAGCCCAGCAAGCACTGCTCTCACCTCCGCTTCCTGACCAGCCACTGCGGACAGGCTGGATGGGGGCCATCAACCCACTGAAGCCCATTGCCTATTCTTGAGCTGAAGGTCAATCAATCCCGCATAAGTCTTGGGGCAGAGAACTGGGGGGAGGTAGAGGAGGGGGAATGTCTAGAGGGAAATTCTGGGCACATTCCTGGAAGTGAGGAGGACATCACTGCAGGCACCCAGACGTCTCTCACTTGCCCTGGCCACATGGACAGCTCCTCCCTGGCTGTGTCCGTGCCTCCTCTCCTGCTCCAGGCCCTGTCTGTTCCTGGAGCAAGGTGGGTCCCAGGGCTGGGCACCAGCCCCCATGTCCAGCGGCGAGGCACCTTCCTTCCGCATTTTGGCGCAAATGCTCCCCAGGTTTGTGGATCTGAATCCTCTTCCCAACACACTCAGGCTTTGCTGGCTTCCCTGTGGTGTATGTGTAAGGCACCACATGGCCTCCGAGGCCTGGCACTTGGGCAATAACACCTGGCAAACACAGCAGTCAGATTCCTTCATCTCAGCCAAGTATAAAATCCAGATAATGAACTGACTCTTAAGACAACACCATTCAGACAAATGCAGGGCCTTCTCCCCCTTAAACTCATAACCGTGTCTCCTTTCTCTCCTTTGATTCGAGGGGGAGAATTTGGTTATGGTCATCTGACCGGTGGGTGTGAGGTCCACCTGCCTGACGTAAAAAGCCATGCCTCCTTTCTAGGTGAGGAGAAAGACAGAGACCTGCTCCTCTGAGGTGTGGTTGGAAGGGGGGCGGGAACCCAGGTGTGCTGGAAATGAAAAGAAATGCAGTCCTGTTTTTCGTCCCAAAATGCAAACAACTGCACAAAAGCATTGGGGCCCGAGACAGAGTAAAGAATGCCTTGTCACCATGGATACAAGGAAATGGCCCCACTTATATATAATAAGGGCTTTGGAGATGCTGGACCATCTGATATTCCAGCCTGGGGCCACACGGGAGGGTGACCTAGCGTCATTCCTTATGCAGTTCCATGACCACAGCTATGGCCAGGTTTTGAACCGTGCTCTGGAAACACCTCTGTCTGCAGAAAATGAGGCTTTTCTTTTTTGTTTGGGGGTGAGCAGAGGGCAGAGGCCTGGGCATCTTCTCTCAGCACCGCTTTGTAACCCAGCACTTAGCATCACGGCTGACACACAGCAATGTCACACGTGTGAGTGCACACGTTGCCTCACTGCAGGGGGTCGCCCCACACCAGTGCCGTTGGGGCTGTTGGAGTGGTCAGATCTTCTTCAGTCCTCAAGCTTCTACCTGGCAGAGAGCTGTCCAACAACGGGGGGGAGAGGAGGAAGCCACAGCAGCAAGAAAGAAGCCCCCTGCATCTCGCCCTCCCTCCCTGGACGCCCCCTCTCTGGCCCCATCACACAGTCGCTTGCAGGCTTGGAGGCAGTGGATTTCCCAGTCTGGAAACCCCGATGCCTGTCGGGTGTCCCCGCAACGTCACCCGGGCTGTGCTGGTCCAGCCTCCGCGAGTTCGAGACCCAGGGGTTCCGGGGTGGCAGGAGGCTCCCACGGCGCCTGCGAGGCCTCAGCCCGGGCGGCCCCCGGAACCCGCGCTTCAGGGCGCCGGGTCCGCCGCCCCCCGCAGGAGCAAAACAAGAGCACGCGCACCTGCCGGCCCGCCCGCCCCCTCGGTGCCGGCCAATTGCGCGCGCGGGGCGGGGCCGGGCGCGCCGGAGCCGGAGCCAGAGCCAGAGCCGGATCCCCGCCGGAGCCGGAGCGCAGCCCGCACCCAGCGCGTCGGCCGAGCCGGAGCCAACGCAGCCTCGGCCCCGCAGCCCAAGCCTCGTCCCCGCCGCCGCCGCCCCCGGGGCATGGCCTGTCTGATGGCCGCTTTCTCGGTCGGCACCGCCATGGTGAGTGAACGCATCCTTCGCCAGCCGGGCTCGGTTTTATTTTCAAGGAGAGCAGGAAACACACAAAGACTCGCACGCTCGACCTGACACCCTTCCCTGGAGCGTGTCCTCTGGGCGCTTACCCAGGGCACCCCATCGAGACGCCCGGTTCCAATCGCTGCTCCCGCCTCTCCACCCGGGCCACCTGGAGCCTCGGGATGCCCGTCGCACTGGCCGGGAACACGGACAAGGTGGAGGGGCCGGGAGTGGGGCGAGGGCAGCGAGCAGCCCTACAAGTGGACCAATGGCCTTGACCTGATGGGCTCCGGGCGGGGGGCGTGCGGCCCTGGGGACCCAGAGCGCACTGGAGACCGGGGAAGGGATGCCGCTTGGGCCGGAGGGAAGAGGGGGAGCCCCGCGCGCGCGGCTGTGGGTTTGGGGAGCGGGGAGTTCTCGCGCCATCCCCAGGAACGCCAGGCAAGATCTAGAGGAACAAAAGAGGGAGCTGCCCCCGGAGAGCCGGAGCCCGCGGCTGCACTCCCGGGGACGCCTCTCCCGGACCCACTAGGGGAGGGAGCGGCGAAGGCCGGGGGACACCGCGAGGGGCGAGCCCGGATTCCTGCCGGCCGCCTTTCCGTGCGCGCCGGAGAGACGCGGTGGCGACAAGGACGCGCATCTCACTTCCCCCGACTCCGGAGAGGGGTGTCCGGGTGCCGGTGCCGGCGAGTTCACTGCTGGACACGGTGACTGCAAGTGGTGTTCCCAGGGGTGGTCAGGAGTCTCCAGTGGCTGGTTTTCTGGCATTAGGAATAAACAACGAACCAACCATCAGGCCCCCAGCCACCCACCTCACCTTATCCTAGGGCCCCTCATGCCTACGCCCAGCACTCCAGCATCGCAGAGGCAGCTAAAGAACAAATGGAAAGTCTTCCGTATTCCACGCCGTGTATCTGTGTAGTTACTACCCGGATAGTTACTTCCCCGAGGCTGCAAGCCCGCAGTGCATGGCACGCTGCGGGGCTCACCCCGCCCCTCCCCTCTATTTCATTTTTAGCATCCTGTGTTTGAAGTCAGCAGGGCTCAGCAGGATTTGACCGACAGTTACCTCTTGCCTTGAGCTCAAGAGAAAAAAAAAAAAAAAAAAACAAAGAAAAAAAACACGTAGCCAGGTTTCTGCGCATGCTCCGCTGTGACAACTGCATCCTATGATTCCAAACAGGTTACTGTAGAACATACTGAGCCTCGCCAGCTCATTATATAATGATTTTGTGTAAACGATAGAATGGGGCCGCAGCCCCGGCCAGGCGGTGGGTGGAGGAGGGGACAGCCGGGGCGGGAGACCCCGCAGGCTGCCTCTGCCCTCTGGGCTGCCCTGCCTTCCCTGCGTGGCTTCTCCATAGAAGAGGCAGTGAATAAAACGGAAAAGCCATTTCCCTCCTGGTGACACTTGCTTTTCTCTGGTTGAATCTTTGGGCCACAGTTGGATATTCTGCCTTTTGCCCTTGTTCGTCTATTCAGATTCCTAAATGAGGTTGGCAATGGAAAATTAAGATTGCTGATGTTAGTTGCAGGTAGAAAAAGTTATAGACCTTGTATTAGATGCTAGGTGATTCTTGAAATCCTTTTAGAGCTGCAAAGGTACATATGGAAAAATAATGAATCCAATATTTTAAGATACAGGTTTTTAATGCCAAGATTTTTTAATGGTATATTATGATTTGATACAGCCCGCAGAGCTCAACTGCTTGTTATGTGTAAACTCTAATAGCGGGGCTCATTGTTTTTGGAGAACACTGTTTTGCTTTCAAAATTATTTTCCTCCCTGAAAACTTGGTATTTAAAAAAAGTTTCAACATTCCTACCCATGCACAGCTGTCCCACCCTGAAAGCACTAGTCTGATCTTAGAGGCTAAGCAGAGTTAGGCCCCAGCTGGTCCTTGAATGAGAGACCACCTGGGAATTCTGGAGGCTGTAGGGTTAAAAGAAAAATAAATTTCAAATAAAATAAATTCTGTTCAAGTCATAAACAGCCCTTCAGAGATACCCAGGATCTGAAGCTTTGCTTTTCCCTCACCTCCTGCTCTGGGTCCATCCTGGTGTGGTCCCTCTGAGTTGTGAGTCAAAGGAGGTGCCTAGGTCTGAGCCAGGCACTTGGGGGAGCATGCTGGGTGGGGTCAGTGGGCACACAATGGGTGGCAAATGTTTCCAGTGGGAGGGCAATGTTTGGAGCTGTTCTGGGATTCCGAGGAACCCCTCCAGCACAATACAGCCTCTGGCTCAGTTAAGGCTGTGATGCCTTGTTTATTTTCCTCTGGGCAGTCGCCTGGAGGACTCCTGGTCAGTGCATTTTCCTCTTATGTGCTTAGGATGCTTAGGTGGGTACCCAGGCTGGCAGCAGTGAACCAAAGAGAGACGATAGAGAGCTGCATGCTAACTGTGCTGCTGACTGGCCCCCTCTTCCTCTTCCTGACTCCCTCATGGGGCTGGGAGAAAAAGTTTCTATCTCTGTGTCCCTGGTGGAAATGGAGTGAATGCAGCTCACCATGACCTGGGGGTGGCTTACTGACAGTTAGAGACCCTCCCCAGCTAAATAGGCGTCTCTATCTGCCCAGGATTCAAACTGCAATCACAGGCCACTCTGCTCAGTGCCCAGGAAAATATTCCCATGAACAGCAGCCAGGAATGATCCAAACAGGGTCTCTCTGGCATTCCACATCTATGAATGAACTTACTATGGCTTACAATGCATTGTGCCGCACAAATCGTATGTGGCCCGGTGCGGGGGTGGGGGAAGGTCAAAGACAGTGCTTCAGTAGGATAGCGAAACAGAAGAGCGAAAGGAAAAAATGAGAGAAGATGCATTTGCTTTAATTTTAATGAGCTCAGGAGGCTAAGGAGAAGCTCGCTGTAACCTACATTGCCGGCTGCTCTCATCGGAGGATGTGTTTCCAGAGAGCTGGTCTATTTTGGACTGATAGGCCACTGCCTCGCCTCACACAGTTTCCATGAGTTTATTAATTGGGTGAGGCTGTTGGATGCCGTGGAGGAAAGGTGGTCAACTGTAAGCATTGCTTTGGTGTTGGTTTATTTGGGCTGGGGCTGTATGATTTCTTCAGTGTAGATTTTCCTATAATGGACAAGGGCTGGGAAGACACCGAAACACCCGCAACTCACCCCTGGAAGGCCGAGCAAAAGTCAAGGGCTGCTACAGAGGCTTGTGGCCTCAGACTTGGAAGCCTCTCACAGCAGGGTCCAGCCTGGCCACACCCTGATCGTGGGGTCTTGGGCAAATCAGACAACGTCTCTGTGCTTTCTATGCCTCCTCTGAGCTGGAGATGGTCCTCTCACCCCCCAGCATCCCCATCCCTGTTAGAGTTGTGGAGGTAACAAGAGGCATAATCTATACAGGCTGGAGTTTAATAGGCACATGATAATTGCTGTGTCAACAGCCACTATTGTTTGTAATCACTTACCTAGCATGCACAAGCCATTATTAATTAATTAAATCACAAGTACTTGACTCTGGCTTATCTCTTTCTTACTCCCAAATCAGTTTAGCCACCAGTCTTTGTCCTCCTGGCCCGTCCCCTTGCCTTCAGCCCCACTCAGCTCAGCCGATCCAGGCCAACATCACCCCGCCTAGTTCACAGCAGGAGACACTTCTGCAGTTCTGGTCCTGTCATTCCTTCAGGGTTCTCCAAAGAGCTCTAGATAGAATGCAAAACCCTTAATCAAGTCGGCAAGCCCTTCACCACGGGCACACTGTTTGCCCCTCTAGTCTCATCTTATTCTAAAGCCCCCTGCCCTCCCGCCCAAATCCACACTCCAGCCCCTGCATTTCTTACAGGGCTCTGAATACCCCACTCTCTCGTACTGCTGGGACTTTGTATATGCTGTTCCCTAGCAGAGGCCACCAGGAGCCAGCACCCCTCCCTCTCACTTTGTTAAACTTAGCTAAGATTCTGTTTCTGCAGACTTTGTCCTGCGTCTCCCCATCTCAGGGTCTGTGTTGCATTAGATATCCCTTCTGAGTTGCTCATATTCTACTAGCAGCCTGGCTTTTGCCTGGACCTATTGTAATTAGTTGGTCTTCCTCAAAATGAAAGAAGCCAATCACAGGCACATACGGGGAAAATGCAGTGGCCGAGGGTCTCAAGGCGACTGCCCAGGAGAAAATAACCAAGGCATCTCAGAAGCACAGCGGAGCTTCTCTCAACAATCCGGAGGCACTTAAGCTTTCCACCTGGCTCCTGCCTTGACCTAGTGTAATTAGCTGCCTGTTTTCTTGCCTGGGGCCAGATCTCGAACTTGAGCTTGCTAGGTCTGGGGCCATGTCTGTCAGGCTGACTGCTGACCCCAGGGCTTTATCTGGTGCTCAGTTTGTCCAATGAATGAGTGAGAGAGGGAGTGAGTGAGCAGATAGTGAGTCCAGCAAAGAAAGTCAGGCCCTCATGATAACGTAGATGGGTGGGTGGGGGTTGTCCACCCCGTATTAGTATGGGCTTCAGCCACAAGAAAGAAGCACCTGTCCCTGGGCTTCAGCAGGGGCCCCATAACTGTAGTGGGTGCCTGGAGAGAGGGTGCGGATGGTATGTGGCAGCTGGGCTCCTGGGTGGGGGTAGAGGGGGCCCGTGATGGGGGAGGAGTTGCTCAATCCCCCTGTGCCTTGCCCCCAACTGCATCCACAGCCATCGGGGGTCCCATGGCAGAGCCCGAGTCTGCCAGCGGGATTGGGTAGGACCCAGCACGTGCTGTGTCTTCACTTGTGTGGCGAGGTGAGGATGGAAATGGACCCTGGGAACCAGGCCTGGAGGGCACTGTCTTGCTCCACAGCTTTCCTGACATCCCCCTTCCAACACCCAGATTTGGTGCTTTGGGGGCTCTTTTGGAATCCAAGTAAGTTCTAAATACCTGGGGCAGCAGGATGGGGCCCCAGAGGGCAGGCTGGGGGGCACAGGGCAGCATGGGACCCCAAAGGGCAGGCTGAAGGGTATGGGGCAACAGCTCCTTCAAGAGGCCCTGCTGCAGGGGCAACAGGACCAGCTGGAAGGAGGCTTCAGGGTCGCTCCCTCAGGGTCTGCATCTTGTCATTGCTCCAGAGCCCTAGGAGTGAGGAGTCCCCTTGTCAGACATGCACAGACCCTCCCAGCTCTGCTCGGGAATGCGGGAACCCACAGATGCTAGTCTCCAAGGTATCCTGCGTGCCCAGGGCCAGCAGACCAAGTTCAGCTTTGTCAGAGTTTCACTCGGCACCTGCAGTTTTATCCACACGATATTATAGCTCAGGAGCTAAGTTTTGATTTTGTGAAGGTCCTCAGAGGTAGGAGATGCCTGAGAGGGGTATGTGTGCTTTTGGCACTGTGGGATATTCTCTCTCGATTTGGAAGACAGTGAGAAAAAGCATAGCAGTTTGCTCCCCGAGGCTTCTTCTGTGTTTTGGAGGTACCTGAAGTTTATTGATTTGCTCACGGTTGCCAGGCCATTAAAAAAGGCTATTCCTTTCTTTGCATAGATACTTCTGGGTTCTTGGCAATTGGTTACAGTTCATTTGATTCCCAATGGAAGCTTTAAAAGCCAATGCTAGCTACAAAAGATTAGGTACCCTCATGATGCTGTGAAATGAACACTTACCTTTTTTTTTTTTTTTTTTTTTTTTTTTTTTTTTTTGATGACTCAAATTCTGGGATCACTTCTGCTACTCACTTGATTGTGGCATTCCGAACAGGTTCCTTAAATTGTCTGTGTCTCAGTTTCCTTGTTTATTTCACAGATTAAAAAATATTAACCATTTCAACTTTACAGTGCTGTTATGAAGATGTAGCAAGAGAGTAGAGTTGTAAGTGATTTGGAGATTTTAAATGCCAGACACAAAGGCCAACCCCCGCCAGACTCAGCTACTCAGGTGACATCATCGCTTCTGAGATATTTTTTGTGAGAATACACAAGAAAGGCACAAAACAGCTCTGTGCAAATAAAACTTCTTCGGTTATTTATTTCTTAGGCACCTGGTGTGCCTTTATTGAGGTTTTTAAAGTGAGGGGACCATAAATAGATCATTGCTTATGGTGGCCAGTGTATTCTTTTTTGAGGCAAGTGATAATTCATTATAGTTTTGTGATTAGAGTTTATGATTCCAGAGTAAGACTTGTAGCGTAACACTACCTTAAGTGGTTATTTTTTTTTTTTTTGAGATGGAGTTTCACTCTGTCGCCCAGGCTAGAGTGCAGTGGCGCAATCTCGGCTCACTGCAACCTCTGCCTCCTGGGTTCGAGCAATTCTCCTGCCTCAGCCTCCCGAGTAGCTGGGACTACAGGCATATGCCACTACATCCAGCTAATTTTTGTTTAGCTACACTTTTTTTTTTTTTTTTTTTTTTTTTTTTTTTCTGAGCTCAGGTGATCCACCCGCCGCCTCGGCCTCCCAAAGTGCTGGAATTACAGGCATGAGCTACCATGCCCAGCAGCATTTTTTAATAGAAGAAAGTGTGACAGAGATAATAAATTCCTCTAGGTAGGCACGTTTCTCCTGGGGCCAAAGTCACTCTTGCAGTGAAAGCAGTGTTGCTATTAATAACCAATGACCCTGAGCCTGATGGTGAATCTCTCCATGTTCTTTCTCTGGATGCAGGTTATAACATGTCTTGATGCTTCCTCTGGTTTTTCTAGAACGCCAGCAGTTACTCTGCAGAGATGACGGAACCCAAGTCGGTGTGTGTCTCGGTGGATGAGGTGGTGTCTGGCGGCATGGAGGCCGCTGAGACGGACCTGCTGAATGGGCATCTGAAGAAAGTAGACAACAACCTCACGGAAGCCCAGCGCTTCTCCTCCTTGCCTCGGAGGGCAGCTGTGAACATCGAATTCAGGGACCTTTCCTACTCGGTTCCTGAAGGACCCTGGTGGAGGAAGAAAGGTAGGGAGGGTGGCTGCTTTGTGTGTCAAGCTGGGTGGAGCCTCTGAAGGAGGCAACAACAGGTTTTTGGGGCTGAATCGGGGTTTGGAGGTTGCGAGGCTGAGCTTCTCTTCCCAGCGCCGTCCCTGCTGTGGTCAGTTTGTTCCGTTGCTTTCTGCCTGAGTTTACCTCACCTATCAAATGAACAGGTTAGATTTGGTGATCTCAGAATTCACGGTCACTCTGAAATTCTATGACGTCACTATGGAGAATTTCACAAAGATTGACCGGTGTCCAAGTGTGCTTGTTCCTGGCATATGCTCAGAGAGTCCTCTTTTGTGGCTTTCATTTATGTCCATCTTTCAAGTTGGAACTGTTTTCAACCACCCAGAGCAAAATGGGAGACAGATGCCCCCTCCCAAGCGTTAAAAAGTTTTAAAAAGTGGCCAGTGACCTAGACTGAAAGGACTCTTCTGTGAGTGATCACGGTGGGCTAGAAAGAAAATTAAACTGTTGTAAAATGAGCTGTATCAATAAAAGTAGAAAAAAACAGAGAGGATGGAGCTCAGGAGGTCTCTGAAACGCCACCAAATGCAGGAGTCTGCCACCAGCTTCTTGCATGTTACAGGGAACTGATGAGCAGTGATCTGAGTTTTCTCAGCAATCTTTTCTGGCTCTAGAGTTTGGAAGTTTGTGTGGTTAATGCCACCCTGGATTGGTGTGGTTTTTTTTTTTTTCCAGCCTGATCTGTTTCTTCCTGTGGAATTTATCTTTCATCTCCTCTGCTCCATGCACTCCTCGTCTGCTCCTGAGTGGATCAGACAGGCGGGTGGGGGAAGCTGATAGGGAGAGGACATGTCAGACTCGTCAGTAAACTGTGGTCCCTAGTTTCTGTGAATCATGGAAAGCTACTTGAAAATCCATGAGGACTTTGGAATAATACAAATGACTCAGGTACCCCTGGAATATTCTAAGTTTTTTAGGACTTTGAACTTAAAACTGGATTCAAATCTTCTTTCACTTTAAAGCGGACCAACCAAGACTCATGTTTTAAATTTTCAGTTGTCTTTCTTCTTTTCCCTATTATATTTTGTTTTTCTACCTTCTTGAAGCTAAGTCTTTGAGACCCTTGGCATGGGCAGTCCAGTCTTCATTGTAATCACAATTTTAGAGCCTTGACAGAGTGGTCCCTGTTGGTGGACCGGTTGGTGGCTGGAAAACTGTATGTCTGTGTTTGCACAACCAGAAACAGATTCTTTACCTTCTCAGCAGACAACAGTATAGCACTGTGATGCGAAATCTGCATTTTCAGAGCACACCAGCCTGTTTTATTAAGAAAGCAGATCTGTGAAAGGCTCAGATGTGCACCCACTCCTTTGATCCTATTGAAATTTCAGCATAGGGTTATAGCCTTCTCCTTCTCAACTTACAGAAAGATTTTATAGAAAAATGTATCAAGAAACCAGGACACCGTGCCATGTTTTGGCCTCATTTGTCTATAAAGACAAACTGGCAGAGCACTGAGCAACACAGAGCGACTTCTGTCTGTTACGTGTGGCCTTGGACATGCTATGATAGTGGAAAATGCTGGGGAGGGTGTCTTGTAAAATTAAGATGGGTTGTAATGCAGAAATGTAGGCGTCTGAAAACTGGTGGCATCTGGGTTTGAAATGTGTTGGCATAAGCTTGGCACACATGTGTAGCCAGTGTTTGCTATTGAAGAGTATCACTACCCTACCCAGTGTACTAATCTGTTTTCACACTGCTATAAAGAACCACCTGAGACTGGGTACTTTTTAAAGAAAAGAGGTTTAATTGATTCACAGTTCTGCATGGCTGGGCAGGCCTCAGGAAACTTACAATCATGGAGGAAGGTGAAGGGGAAGCAAGGCATATCTTACATGGTGGCATGAGAGAGAGAGAGAGAGAGAAACCCACATACTTTTAGACCCACATACATTAAGTCTCATGAGAACAGCGTGGGGAAACCGCCCCCATGATCCAATCACCTGCCACCCACTCCCTCCCTTGACATGTGGGGATTATAATTCAAGATGAGATTTGGGTGGGGACACAGAGCCAAACCACATCACCCAGCATGTGACTTGTCACCCTTATATTCTCTAAGTGTTTAAACTGATCACATGAATCATCACAGTTAGCCAGCAAGTAATGGCTCGTAGCTGGGGAGGAGCCCTAACTGTCCATTCTTAGAAGCGCAGGCTGGGTGGGTGGCCACCAGATAGAGACTTGCCCTACAGTAACCTTGTGGGCCCAGGCAGGGGAGGAGCCCAAAATGGGCTCCCAGGGACCTGCCCATGAGTCAGAAATGGGTGGAGCCAGAGAGGCTGACAGACAGGATGTGTCTGGTGTGTTCCAGCTGCTGGTTCCTACCAGGGCCAAGGGTAGTTTTGCTGTGTGGCTTCCTCCTCACTGCTCTCCTAGCCATAGCGGTGCCTGCGTCTGTCTTCTCTCTCCCTGCTCCTCCTCCCCTGCATACCCCATCCTTTCCTTTGTTCCTGGTGCCTGCAAGTCAGTCTAGATAGTTTATCATTCCAGCACACAGACTAGAAAGGAAACTGAGGCAAAGGTGATTAAGGGACTTACCCATGCTCCTGGGCTCTAGAGGGGCAGACCTAGGATGAAGGCAGCAATTTTGAGCTCTGTGCACTCCAACGCAGTGGCCATGCCTTGCCTAGCGCAGGGCCTTATGGGGTGCTGGGTCCACACAGCCAGCAGGGAAGCAGAGCTCTTCCTGGAAGCTCTGGTGTTCATAGGGTTCCCTGCTGTTGGTGGTTTGGTTGCTGCTGCTGAAGAGTTTTTCCTGCCGAAGGGAGTTTGATGCCAAAGCCCTCTCTGTGCCCACTGTTCTCCCATCATCAGCCTGCTCTTGGGTGCGGCGTCCAGTTGGCTGCAAACTTGGGTTCCCCAGCTAAAAGCAGGACGATCAATAAAAGGGCACACTAAATGTGGATCTTGTGTTGGGGCTGCAGGAGAAGCTGCACCCCCCTGGACCTCGCCCACACTGGTCACCACCCTCCTGGTTCGCCTCTGTGCCTGCCGGTTCTCCAAGTTGGCCTCTTTTGCCCCTCCCATGCATGGGTTTTCCCCCTCTCCTGTTTTTAACCCTCCAATTGCTGGTGGTGGTCTCAGTCCCCAGCTGTGATTAGGTTAGGCTGAGAAGTCAGAGCCCAGGCACACTCCGCATTTCTCTCCTCTCACAGTGACAAAGAGTTTGCATTTGGCGTCATCTCTGTGATGTTGGGGCAGGGGCTGCTTCTCTGACTGCTTCCGTGTATTCATTTTGCTGTCTGTATCAAGTCCATTGTTTTCAACTTTTAAAAATTCAGTTTGATGCATTCAGTGAATTGTAATGATCACACTGAGGCTGGACGTCCGAAGGTAAGAGGTGAAGGAGTTTTGAACATGCCTGGTCCCATGCTTCACAGTAGGGCAAAGGAAACAGGGGCTTAAGCACAGAGATGATTTGCTCAAAGGCAGAGCCTGGGCTGGGACCCAGCTGTTCTGACTGGCCGTCCAAGTTCCTTCCCATTACAAAGACGCTGGACCACTCTAGTTGATTCCAAGAAAGATTCTTTCTCACACAATTTCTCCCAGAACATGGTGCTGTGATACGAACTCAACATAGAGTGCCATAGCAAAGCTGGGCATTTAGACCAGAATAACTTTATGAGCTCCTATGTAATGATTTTAAAGAGCACTTTACAATCCTTGCAAGAAAGGTGATGTGAGAAACAACAGTGGTATTTTTAAGAAGGAGATGCCAGGCACTGATTCTTTAAAAGTTTTGAGCCTGACGGTTATGAGCATTGAATATGGCGTTTAACAAAACATCTTGTATTTTCAATTGTAGTTACATTTTCACCATATGATTAATGATGTCTTTGGAGGAAACACTACATCATATAATAGATTTCTAGCAGAGAACGTAATTGTGAGAGGAACTATTCTCAGGAGAGAGAAGTACACCTCAAGGATAACTTCCCCGGCTTCTGATACAGTAATTACTCTCCCTCAAGGAATTCATTCACGTAGCTTGTGCTGATGGGACAAATGGCTCAGAACAATGTCAGCTTTGGTGCTGACACACAAACTGTGCTGGGGACGGATCAGAGTGGCTTGGTTTAGTTGTTCCTCCTCACCGTTAGGTGTGACTCTTTTGAAAGGGCCTTTGCTTCCTACAGAGTAGACACTATGATGAGAACATTTAGGAAAGTGGTTAAGAGTAAATTCACAGAATTTTTTTTTTTTTTTTTTTTTTTTGAGCAGAGTATCACTCTGTAGCCCAGGCTGCAGTGAAATGGCATGGTCTCAGCTCACTGCAACCTCTGCCTCCCAGGTTCGAGCGATTCTCCTACCTCAGCCTCCCAAGTAGCTGGGAATACAGGCACCCAGCATCATGCCCAGCTAAGTTTTGTATTTTTAGTAGAGACAGGGTTTCACTATGTTGGCCAGGCCAGTCTCAAATTCCTGACCTTGTGATCCTCCTGCCTCAGCCTCCCAAAGTGCTGGGATTACAGACATGAGCCACCGCGCCCAGCCTGAAATTTTTCTTAGGTAAAGATGATGGGGATGAGCAGATTTTATTGTAAGTTGCCTTCAGAGCACATTTACACAAGGGTCTCATTTTATTAGGATGCGACTGGCCACAGTGAACACATGGAATGCTTGGGTTCTCATCCACTGCCCGTCCCCTAGGAGACCCTGGTGGTTTCCATGCGTGGTTGGCTGAATGAGAGCCGTTCTTCAATCCGCTGGCTCCCGGGCCCAATTCAGGAGGGATCTGCGAATTCTCCATATGGAAAACTGTGATGTAAGGTTCAGAGGCACCACCAGGGTAGTAGGAGTAGGGAAGAAGGGACTCAGAACCAGGTCTGTGGGGTTTCAAGCCAAAAAGGAGCTTAGCAAGTGCTCAGCCCTGATGTGGGCATAAGACTGGACCACCAAGGCACAGCTATTACTAGCCCTGTGTTATGAAATGGTTTGGGGTTGCCTTGGCT